CCCCAAAACCCCAAAACCCCAAAACCCCTAGATTGAAGATTAGAGTTGTTTTTTATGAAATTAAGTTTATATAGAATCATCAAATATATGAGTTGTAGAAATTTCCTCTATGGATTATATCATTCATCCTAGTTTATATTATTTTAGAATCTGCTTTTCTTCTTTTCTCTGGAAGAAATATTATTTTAGTCTTTTGCTTTAAACATTGTCATTTCAAATGCTTATTGATATTTTTTCCTTCGCTAATCATCAGGGTCTTATTAAGGTTCGATATTGTTTTTACTATCATTATTTGCATTAGTATCTCTTAATATCTGTTGAAGCTCTTAGCGGTTTAAGTTTCTTCCCTTTTCACTAGGTTTTTATGAATTGATAAACTGATCGTTATCACTGCTTAAAGGATCTATTTTCTGATTCTAAGGATCAAATCTAGATTAATTTCTGCTGTGACTGATATCATGAGATGGTGCTTCATCTTCTGAGTTTGCATCTAACTTCATATTTGATCTCAAATGATTTACATCATCATAAAGATCTTCATTTCTATTAGAATTCAGCAGTTTTCTCTAAGTGAAGCGATTTGTAGGTACAACTGAACTAACACCTGATTAAGGATTGAATTTATCTCTACTGCTTTCATTATCAACAGTATTTTAATCCTCTCCAAATTTAAATTATTTTCTTTATGTTAATTAGTTGGCCATAGTCTCTGGCATAACTTTTCTTGAGGTCTAGGGTCTGGACATTGGAGATTGCAGCTATTAAAGCTTTTTCTGCTTTTTAGCGGATTTTTTATTGCTTTTATTTGGAGAATTTTTCTGTTTGATATTACTTTTAGCAAGTTTTCCATCTTTAGGCTACTATATTTCTCTTAACATATGTGCTGGGAATTCTAATCTTATTTCCTACTCTTAAATTGGGAGTTTATTTTCTTGTCCGTCTTTCTTTGAGTCTCCAGTATCATCATCTTCAGATCCAGGAATTATTTCTTTTGCAGGTTTTCTATGCAAGACATTTTCATCCGACTCAGATAAACTTTCTCTTTCATCATTTCCATTCTTTAATTCCTTTTCTATGAATTTCTTCATAATAACGTTAGAAAAGTCATCAATATCATCGTTATTAAGGTATTACTTGGTCGTCTTGTCATTTCCATCTTCCCTCATTTCATATGGATTAAAATCTGGCTCTGCACTCATATACATTCTTTCAAAGTCCTCATCTTTGTACAAATTGCAGCTCATATAGGTGTAAATAGTCTTGTTTTTTACGAATAGTATCTTTAATAGTTCTATTCTCATATGATACATCCAGTAAATAAGGAATAATAAATTTGGAATCAAAATCAAAAGCAAGAAGAAATACTTTAAACTTTCACTATCCATATAGTTATAATGAGAACCAGTTACATAAAACATCCCTCCATACATTGTAATTGCATTGACTTGTAATGAAAATAGCTCCATTCTATTAAGAACCTTGGTATAATAGGGGTAAAAATTAATTTGCAAAAGCATTGATATCACTATGATAAAAAGTACTGTTAAAATTTAAGTCTCAGTAGAAACTATTGAGAAAAATACCACGCACAAAACAATTAGTATCTTCCTATAAATAATTATTATCTCCCAGTAAAACATTTCTATCCTGAAACCATTGAAGAGAAAGCCATACATGATTTTGACTTTAACAATAGAATTATAGTCAGCTTTTGTAAGCTCCTTGAGCTTGTTTAGATACATAATGGCTCTCTTTTGCCTATTCATCATTATTAAAGCAATTAATGGTACTCCAGCTACCCAAATAATCAATGCTGGTAAAATGATCGTGATGATATATACGATATGTTTACCTGCATAGCATTGCATTTCCAAATCATCTTTTAATCTTTTTACACCATCCACTTCGATGCAATTGAATGCAGAAAATAATATTCTTGCAATACTTGGATGAATTAAGAACATCACAACTATAATAGTACCAATTAGTCTATCTTTGATTGATTCAAGCTTATAGAGATATTTAACTGCACTCCATACAACAACAGAAGTAACAGCAAAGATCAATGGTAAAAAAGAATAGAATAGCACCTTTTGTAGGAAAAGCTTGTCGCTCTAATCAACCAGCCCATTATCTTATAAGAAGCAATCAAATGAAAACATTTCATCAGTAAAGGTAGTAAATTGCAACTATCCATCCTAGATTGTTTTCAATGTGTGAGGCCAATCATAATCTATGGCTGTGATAGCCGCTAAAATCTAGAAATGATTGGTGATTATTTTCATATAAACTGAGTAAAGTGGCTTTTCTTTCTCAACAGTCCTTATATTTGATCTTACCATAAGAATGCATATTATCATTGCAACTACTAGTAGACCAATTAATTAAACAGTGTTTACTGTCCTAGTAGGGCACTTAGAGCACAAAAAGGGTCGTGATTTTTTATAGCCAGGTAGACAATTTCCACATAGTATTCCAGTGTATCCATCTGCACAAGTTCCTATTGAGTCATTTATTGATCCGCCTAAACAAGCTCCTTAATTTGGGCATTTTATTATATTTTCACTTATATTTGACGACCTCCAATAAAATTTTTTAGGAGCAACTCTTGAAAGTCCAAAACACTGAGCGGTTGGGGGACATACTTAGCATTATGTGAAATTTGATGGGGCTATATATAAATAATAGTCTTTTTTGCAACTTAAACAGCGCTTCTCTTAAGTATATTATTCTCCTACAATGCATGGTCTACTCTGAACTGAAATTTATGGTTAATTTTATATAAAGGGCAATTGATTAGAGAATTGTACTATGCCCTCAATGCTAAAAAGATATTAATAAATTTTTAGTTTACCTTAAATTTAAATGTGCAAGTGAACCAGGTTCAAGATTTAATGTTACTTTAGAAAAATTGTATATACCTTGATTTGCAATAACCTCGAAATTTTGCATAACTACTCCTTTAGAGATACTCTTTAATGTTGCCACGCTTTAACTATCAGTAGTATATAAAATACCATCCTAATCTAAAATGTAAGCAGCAAAAGCAAATGGGGTACCAGATACTATTCCTGGCACTTTAAAGGGTGAACTCTAAAGTAATCTTCCATGATTTTTAGATGGATCTTCTTATATAATTTCGAAATCTTCAATGAAATCTTGATTTGATGGATATAGATCTCTGTTGACCAATATCCTATTCGTCAATTTTTGCTGATACATTGGATTTGAATTTTAGATAAGATTGTAGTAGTCATTATTACTGATGAATTCAAAAACTAATTCTTTAGGAAAGCTGGCTACATCTTTTGCATAAGGAGCTTTATTATTAGTGTAGATATTTGAATTATCGTCAATAAAGCGGTTTGATGTCCAAATTATTGCTCCTCCATCATTCGAGGCTTCATTATTTAGGAATATGTTTTTATTTGAAATATAAATCTTGCAGTTCCTAGTAAGATTCATCTTTTCATTTTAGCAATCTAAATTAATTGCTCCACCGAGTCCTTTCTATAGCAGCTTTTAGCTTTGAGAAGTTTAATCTTAGTATAAGAGAGCTTGATTATTTGTAAAGTTATTATTGCTTATATTAAGTTTAAAAGCATCCTATATCTTTATTGCTCCTCCATGCATCGCTTTGTTAGAATCAAATGTAGTATTTATAATGCTGAAAGTGCTATTGGCGATACTAGAAGTCAAGTAAATAGCCCCTCCTTCAAGGGCACTCAAGTTTTTAAACAAACAGTTTTATATTTCAACATAGTCACAATGGCAATATACTCCAGCACCTTACTCATTTATGTTTTCTGCATTCTAAAATGTTGTTTACTATATCACTATATTAGCATGAGAACCTCTAATAAAATTTCCTCTTCCTTTATTGAACATTGACCAGTAGATATTTGCATCTGCATTTTGAATTTAAATATCCTTTTGAGTATTATTGCTAAATGTTGATGCATAAATCCACACTTCATTAGTCATGCTAACGTAAAGTGAACTACCAGAAAATGAAGCGCAATTAATTATCTTGGATCCTTCAACTATGTAAATAGAACTATAGCCTGTTGCATAAATGGCAGATGCTATTGCACCTCTACAGTTTTAAATTACAGAGTACCAACCGATCCTAAGATTTGATTGATAATTTAGATTGAAAAACCCTGCATCTACTGTGTATTCATTTTCCCAGAGAAACTTAGGATCTGTGTAGTTAACAGTAATATTGTAAGTAGATAAGTTAGAGCTGATTAGAGTGATTCCATTGTTAACTTGCTATGCAATATTGTTTAAAAATAAAGTATTTGCTATAATTCCTTGTGAAAGAATATAACTAGCTAGATTACTAGTATGAGTATTATTGATAAACTCAGAGTTATTAATATGAAATAAGCCCTCTAAGTTATTCAGAGCGAATATTCCAGATGAATCTTATGCATAGTTATTTAGGAATGAACATTAGAAGCAAGTGAGGGAATTATCTTCATAAAAATAAAAAGTTCCCTTTTCAATTGCTCTATTCTCTTTGAAAACACAGTTGGTAAAGTTTATCTTTGAAACTGAAGCTCCAACTGCTGAACCTCTTGTTAAACCAACATTTTATTAAAGTGTTAGGTTAGCACCAATAAATCCATATGTTCTGAAAATGTAAATTGCACCATATTAGTCAACTGTATTATTAAATATTAAATTTTTAGAGTTTGATCTAGTATTAAAAACTCTTAAATACGACTCTTTACCAGACATAATAGCTGCACCCTAAAGAGCAGTTAAATTATGGAAAGAACTATCAATTATCTCAGAGTACTTTAAGTAAGGGTGATTAACTGGTCTAATCAATTCATCCAAGAAGTAGACTGGTTTAGTATTAACTGATTGCTCCATGTAAATGGCTCCAGATTCTTTACTAGGCTTATCTAGAATTGTATTTAGATATTTCATATCTATGAAGTCGAGGATTCCCATAGTCTGCTTTATAAACTATTATTCGAAATACATTGTATTATTAGGCTGCCAGGAATTTTAGGAGAATGTACAGTTGCTTACTAAAACATAAGCACACGAATCGCAAAATATCGATTGCCCTTCTTTCGCTAAATTATTGGTAAATGTTGAATTATAGATTAATAGACTTGTAAAATCAGGATCATGCGGTTCCATGCTAATTGCACCTTATCCTGCTCCATATTAATAAGATATGTCTTCATTCACAAATTTATAAGTAGTCCTGCCATCTTAGTTTCTAACATAGATCACAGCGCCTTGCTTGTTAACCACATTAAATTTATAAGAGTTATTTTGAAAAAGACCAAATTAGTTATCAAGTTTCATCGAGTAGATTGCTCCCTCGTAAGCAAAATTGTATCTAAAAACATTGTTTCTGAATTCATGGAAATTGCCTGTTATAAATTATTCCATACCCATTAAGTAAAATAATCCGTATGTCTAGTACAATTGAGAAATGTAGGGTTGATATGGAAAGTAGCCTTAAATTGTGACCTTAGGTGTCTCAGTTGATTTCGAGAGATAACCGTTTCCATAAGCAGTTGTATTAATTACTTTGAGAAGTCCTTTAAACAGATAGATAAGAGATGATTCATTTCCTTTGAAATAGTTTTCTCTTATTTGGCATCTCTCCAATATCAATATTGGAGTATAAGACATTCCGTACTAGTAGAAAGAATCAAGTGAAATAAGAGATCCATAATATTGCTTTACAAAACTTATACCAAGTCTCTACACATGTTTATTCCTGAGGAATGAAGAGTTTCTGAATGTTGTTGTGTAGTTTTGATTTATAAGATTTGAGTATTTGAGGTTTATCATAATTCTTATTACTGGTGCTTGTGCCATGATAAAATAAGTAGCTGGGAAATAGGTGAAGAGTTTGTTAGATAATGTTTTAACGCTGTAATTTTAACTTCCTTGATGATCTCTAAATGTCGTATTTTGAATGATGTTAATCCTATTACTAGAAATATACATAGAAGATGTAAGATCATAAGGGGAGTTTTAGTCAATAAATGGCCCAGCATCATTATTCACAAAATCACAGTTAATTATATTCAGTTCCTATATATTATCAGAGTTCATGCATTATTCTTCTATACATCCATACACATACAAAGCCCCAAGTACTTGAGGCCAATCTATCTGATAATCTAAAGCTGCGCAATTATTAATATAACTAAATTCATCTTTGCAAACTCCATTTAAATCTTAAAATGTCACGGATATATTTGATTTGAAAATAGCAGAATAAGGAGAGTACAACTACTCTAAAACTGCATAAACAGGGCCACTAGAAGCGAATGTAGAATTTTAAATCCTTATTTTATTGATATATTTCAGATATATGGCAGTTCCTTTAATTCCAGAGTAATTTTCTGTAAAGTTACAGCCAGTAATTGTAAATTGGTAAGACTGTACTCTGAATCTTGTAGATGCATCGCTGAGACTTTGTATTGTGGAAGTTATTGCATTATTATTATCTGTCAGGATGTCGTTTGAATAAAATGTTGATGTATGGTAATAATCATCATGATCTTCCTCATCTAAATATTCACAAACAGCTGAAATAGCACCACCATTATGGACTTTCATACCAATGTTATGGTAAAATTCTGAATTTTATATTTATAATCCACCACAAATTTGATTATATTGATCATACCTCAAAGTTCCTCTGAAATGAATAGCATTTCCTGAGAAGTATGCAAAGTTGGTGACGAATCTATTATCACTAATAACCAGATAAGGATTATTTCCTTAGGCCCAGTCAGGAGAATCTATAGTAATAGCTCCTCCAAAAGTTCCAATATTGTCTTGAAATAAATTTTATCGAATAATAGTGTATTCTTTATTTCTTGAGATGTAGATTAATCCAAGTCTTTCAAACTAATCAAAGTATTTATCAATATCATCAGACATACTAATACCATGAGCTAAAAAGAATTCATCTGTCAAGGAATCTTAGTTGCAAATTGCAAATTTCAATTCATTTGTTAAAAACTAATCTATAAAGTGATCTGAATTCTTGATATAGTTTTTTCTTAATGGTGGCATAATTAGCTCAGGGATAAAATGAGTATTTAGTCTGAACTTTGATCCAGCAATCTCAATTTTTCCATCAAATCCTTCAATATTTAACACTATTCCTTTGTGTATTGTTGCTTCATATGTTAAAGTCTCTAAACTATTTTCTCCCTTGTATGATAATTATGGAGTAGTTCCTTGATAAAGAGCAAGAGCAGATGTATTAGTAAGGTAATTCAAATTTGTAAATTCAGAATCAACTATTAATAACTAGGATCCAATATCATTTTTAGTGTTATCTTTACTTCTAAATATATAAGTTGTATTCAGAAAGCTTGTCATTTATGGGATATATATTTGCCTTCTGAAGAGAATTAATCCTAAACAGAACCTCGAGTGCTGAAAAGTTGACTATTGAATCAAAAGTTTGAATCCTCTGTTTGCTCCATTGTAAACAAAGAAATCCATATTTAGCAAGACAGTCATATTAAATAGAGTTGCAGGATTTTGCTTGGTAATTCTTCTTAGATTATTGTGCTCTACATTTATCAGTGATGTATATCCTCCCAAAAAATAAGAAAAATCACAGCTAACTATGGTTAAAGAAGGTGGTTAATTTAACGTAGAAAGGTGATCTGGGAAAGCATAAATATTAAATAATGTGGCACTCCTCCTACTATATACATTTTTACCAGTCACAATCTCAAAGAAATGAGAAGATCCAATATCTCCATCACAAGCTAATGTACTTTGGGTAAATGGAGCAAATTATTGATTGCTATTCTCCTTGCATCTTCTATTTTCTGTTAAGTTTTGTGGAATAGTTGATTTTGAGTACCAATCATCTTTGCATGAGTAAGACAATTAAGTCACATAATTAAATTAATTGCTTTTTTGAAAAGTTAGAGGAAAATCTCCTACTTTGATATCTCCATAAAGATCACATAGTTACAAAGGGAATATACTGTAATCATGAGTAGCATTTGTTGGTCTTGTGAATGCATTGATGCCAGAAAACATCAAATTTTCAATTCTAAAATTGCCTGTTATATTAAAATAATCTTTTGCAGAGTTTACTATGACCACAGGCTTTGGATCAGTACTTATTTTCATACAAAACTTAAGAAAGTCAGTATTAGTGCTTGAATATCCAACTGAGGGTCCTTAATTACAATATAGTGGCCTTATAGTAATATTTACTTTATCATTCATCTGTAAAGCTTTCTCAAGGTTTATAATGGAGCAGTAATTAACTAAATCGTAGAATTTGTTATTGTAAAATGTAGTTGTTACTTCATCTCCATCACATTAGAAAAAATAATGGGTTCCTAATGATACAAAAATTATAGCATCTATTGACTCTAGATACTCTGCTTGCTATTTTTAATAAACAGCATTAATGGCTTCTTAAACAAAATAAAAAGGTCCTCCTATCGTCAAACCCTTATTTACAGCTGAATCGTAAGCAAGTTCAGATTTTAACAATGGAGCACCATTCTTAACAAAATAATTAATTTTCGTAGTTCCATTGAGAACTTAGCAAGTATTTTTGCTGCCTGTGGTAGTTGGAACTTTAGGGAGGTATCCTGCTTCACAAAGTGTGCATGTTTAGGGCTCAGTAATTGACTGCTAACAAGATAAACAGTTTGAAATAGTTGAAACAACACATATTTTCCTTGAAGAATCCTTTAAAGTTAATTAAGCCATAAATTATACTTACTCTACAATATCCTAAAGGACAAGAATTAAACAAGCACATTCCTGGTATTTTTAAGGACCCTGATCCTTCTTCATATTCTGGAGGATTCCAATAGAAATGCTGCTAACATATAGTGCATTAGTCTTGAGAACAAGCTGCACAGTTAAGGAACTATGAACTACATTCCTTGCATTATTTGCTTTTTGTATCATAGAACTGAGTGTAAGTACAACTTTGAGATTGCTATCCAGGAGCAGCGCATTATCTGATCTGAAGATCAACTTCGTTTCTATAACTTAAAATTTCATTATCTTAGCCACTGATTATACAATCTAAGCATCCCTAGCTTCTCTCATTTACTGACCAGACACTAAAATCTTCACTAATTGTCTCTTATTCACAAACATTGCATATTTATTGATCATTCTTGTAGAAGTATAATTTACAACTAAAGCAATATGGTGTTTACTAAGTAAATCTCTCATAATATTTGAATACAGCACTTAAAGTTTGTTAAAAAGCATATTCCCAAGGATAAGCAGTCTAATCTATTGAGCAAAGATCTGTTTTAGTCTATGAATCTGTATATTTCAAACCGCATATTGTTGATGTTTCATTGAAAACCATCAGTGTGTACCCATCAATACATTTATTGCATTTTTTCATATTAGTGTCTTCATAATTTTTGCACAATGATCCTTATAATTGTCTTTAAACCTCTTAACCTTTATTAATTTCAGTCATTGTGGTATTTGCAATCATTATTGTGCAAAATATTATCTTCATTATTTAGTTTAGATTGGAATATAGGCAATAGGATTCAAATTACAGAGATCTTTCATTCTATTTTCGCATTCTATTTAAATTATTCTTATATAAAAATTATTATCCAACTAAATGTATTTCATATTTTAAGCATGGGGTTTTGGGGTTTTGGGGTTTTGGGG